AAACACTAATAATTAGGAAGAAGTTTATAATTTAGCAATAGGCCTATGTATGATTCATACCATGACAAGGACAGAGAAAGAGAATGAGGGACACCTGTCGCTAGTCAATTTTACTATTCCTTGAATTACCTTATGGGATACAATTAAGTTAAGGTGTTATCAAGGGTTATCATTCTAAGTTGATTTGTTATTTTGTTTTAACAGACATTGTTGTTTTGTTTTTTGGGGCCTTACCTCTGGCACTAATGAGTTATTGCATGCAAGCTAACAGAATAATGCATCTAACACTGCATGAAATGCTTACGGGTTGACCCATACCAGTGCCGGTGCTTAGGGGACCATATGAGGATCCGCCTCTAGAGCAAATGGAAAGGGAATTAGAAGGGTATATCAGGCAACTAACTGTCATACATGAAGTTATATACCAACAGGAGAGAAGCAGAGTTCTAAAACCAGAGGCAAATCCAACACGACCAGTGGTCCCGGGGAAGAAGGTCTACGTCAGGGTCTTCAGAAGGAAGTGGAATGAACAGAGACATGAGGGACCCTACACCTTCATCCAGGCTACACCAACTGCCGTAAGGGTCGAGTGGAGCTCAACCTGGTATCATCTAAACCACTGCACCAGAGTACCACATGGAAACCGACGACCGAGAGATGAGAAAGCTAAGGATGCCGAGACCCTAGTGACGGAAGAAGGTCCCGAGCGAAAGGGACCAACGCCGGCCCGGAGTAGAGGCTCAGAAGCAGATGGTCATTATCGGAAGAGAGCCCTGCTTGGCCCTCTTCACAACAATGAGGACCACTTGACTGCCCTTATGGCAACCTAGAATGTCTGTATGGGGTAGTGGCAGGAGGAGGATGGGCTTGTCTTGACTACAAGGACAAGCAACAGCTGAAGGACGCTGGACTTGGAGATATTAATCTCCCAGATTTATATCCTGTTCCATATTACTTCAGTGGTGATAAAGAGTCTAAGCATTAATTAAGGGAAATAGGTGAGGTAACATTTCAATTGATTTTGGTATTAAAACTAGGGGTCCCATATAGGACGCCTGGGGTAAACCTAAAATCCTAAAAATATAGAATAGGCCTCTCTCATGTTTTCTCTATGAAGTATATGCATGAAACATAGGGTTTCCGGTTACAAGTGTCCAAGGACATGTCTCTTAATCCCTTACACAGGTTCTGCTTAGATTCAGAAAATGGTTGTTAGGGAGGTGTCCGAAGGTGTCCTGATATTGTTTATTGTGAGTATAACCTTAAATGCAAGGATTGTGCTTGATAGCATAAACATAATTATTATTATGTTAGTTACTATATTAATCATTATATACTTTTGTAAGGATTTGGGACCAATGAAAGTCCCAAAGGGGGGATATGATGAAGATTTTTCAGTAAACTATTATATAAACAAAGTTAATCACAGACATGACGAACATATAGTCAGAATTCTCTGTTGCTAGGCAAGAACTTAATTGGTTCCTTTCACTGGGTTTGTGTGTGTGCGAAATGGGGATCTGACCTCGGGTCGAATTCCTCGCTCTTACCTAATCCATGGCTGTCCTACCTTATCAGGGACTGAAACCAGACTGTTGCCTTTTGCCTCTCTCCTCAAACAAAGTAGAGAGAGCGGAGCCAGAGTTTAACAGAGTTTAGACTAATCATGAGTAATTACAGCATGACAGGAGGGAAGAGAGGAGTGGGTTTGGGTACGTTTGAAAGATTGAGTGTGGACCTGTCATGTCCAACAATCAATCTTCAGGTCAAGCCAGGGTGAGCTGGGGTTGAACAGAGTTTAAACTGAACATTATTATTTTTGCATGACTAGGGATTGATTGATTGTACTACTATTGATTCTAGACTGAATAAAAGTCCAATTTAGCCGCTATCATAGACTAAGGAAGTGGGCGGAGCGGTAGTGAGCGGGAAACTGAGGATGGTGGTGGGGGAACCCAAGAGGGAGGGGCTTTAAGCTAAGATGTATGTGAATCTAACTATATAAACAGAGAGCTGAGAGGTAGACGAGAGTTGCTCTGCAGACCAGCTCGGCTTTCGTTGCTCTATGTAATAAAGTCTATCTTGATTCTACAAAAACTCTGGAAGAACATTGATTTTTAAGAAGTATAGTGATAATTTTCCACATCACTCTTACCCTGGAAAACTCAATCTGCCTCTCTCGCACGGAACATTTCTGATCCCCAGCCCCATGGGCACCCCTATAATTAGCACATACCACTACTTTCCCCAATGCTACACATTCCTTTGTCTCATGCCCTTCTGTACACTTCTCACACCTTGGAACCTCCCTCCTACACACTGCTGCCACATGCCCATAAGTTTGACACCTGTAACATCGTAATGTATTCAGCTCATAAGCTCGTACTGGATAACTTATATATTCTAACTTCACTTTGTCGGGCAAAGACTCAACTTCAAAACTCAAAAGACCAGACAATGATCCACTCTCGCCACCCTGTTTGCGTCACACCAAACGACGAGCATCACAAACACCAGGAATCTTCCCCTTCAGTTGGTCAACTTTTACATCAAATCAAATCAAATCAAATTATATTGGTCACATGCGCCGAATACAACAGGTGCAGACATTACAGTGAAATGCTTACTTACAGCCCTTAACCAACAGTGCATTTATTTTAAACAAAAAAAAAGTAAAAATAAAACAACAACAAAAAAAGTGTTGAGAAAAAAAAGAGCAGAAGTAAAATAAAGTGACAGTAGGGAGGCTATATATACAGGGGGGTACCGTTGCAGAGTCAATGTGCGGGGGCACCGGCTAGTTGAGGTAGTTGAGGTAATATGTACATGTGGGTAGAGTTAAAGTGACTATGCATAAATAATTAACAGAGTAGCAGCAGCGTAAAAAGGATGGGTGCAAATAGTTTGCAGTGCAAATAGTCCGGGTAGCCATGATTAGCTGTTCAGGAGTCTTATGGCTTGGGGGTAGAAGCTGTACTGCTACCCCAGTAATCACTCCTTTCAATGGCGCCCTTTTCTTGAGAAACGATTCACATTTTTTGCCCCCATTTGTTTAACTCCAAGCGCCTTCTTCCTCTGACCAGCAGAAACACAAACAATTATCACTAGACCACTTCTGGTTACCCTCACCGATTCCACTATACCCAACTATTTTTTCACCCATCCTGAAAACCACAAATGGATAAGCCAAAAGGCAATGGTCCACTTTTTCCAAAAACTTCACTCCTACTGTCACAGACTCATCTTTATCCTGATCCTCAGTGCAAGCCTCGGTCTCCGAGTATTTCACCACACCTACCACCTACCGATACTTCACCTCATTCACTTCCATTTCTCCTCCCGTCTTCAGCTCACTCTGCTTACTTTTTCTACCACTCTTCTTTAACAAACCTTCTCCCTTTTTTCCGTCATTTTTAACCGACTCAAGCTCACAATCTTCCTCCCTCTCTCTCTTAGACCTCCTCTGCCTCTTTTTTTCCCCTCCATTCCTCCTCCATATTCCAAGTATACGTCTCCTTATGATAATACTGCACTTCTCCTGACATACATCTTGTTCTTGCTTTCTCAAGGGAAGCCATTTACGAGGCTCTCCAACCAAATCTTTGTCTAAAGTTACTTCCACCATACTCCTGGTTCGCACCAGGGGACTCTGGCATCGCTGCCTTTCTCTCAATTTTCTTATTTTGTTCTTGGCTAACCCGTCTGAAAAGTTCTTGCTTCGCCACAACGAACTTACAGTACACCTAGCTTAGTTCCTGAGGGAGTACATCATAATGGGAACATTTTATTAGTGGAAAAATATTTCAGTGAATGAATGATGTAACGAATACAATGCAGTAGTAGAAGGATTTTAAAACATATATCCCCCTCTAAAAGTCCATATTTGGGAAAATCTAATTATTGATATCCTTTGACTTGCAGAATTGTATATAAAAAAGCAATAAAACGCCTTATTATAAGCACAGATCAGTGGTACAATCATTGACTTGAACTAGTTATAATTAAGAGCCATTACAGTGTTAGGGCCATGCTCTTCAAGACATCCCTTTCATCATCAGCAGTATCAGCAATGAGCAGCAGCAGCAGCAGCAGCAGTATCTTTCTTGGTTGCAGCATAAGCATCACTAACATTTTTGGCATTTTAGCTAATGCTAACCTTAACTCTTTTCCAAACCTTAACCTAATTATCCTAACCTGCTACATTAATTATCCTAACCTGCTGAGTACGTTTTCCTAACCTGCTACGAAACGTCAATAGCGTTCACCAGCTTGTAACTTCCTAAAAACCGGAAATGAGTTACTTCTGGTTCGTTCAGCCATTCCTATGGGGAAAATTCATGGGAAAATAATAGGGTTTTGGGATAAACGACGCAAAATAAGGTTAACACAGGCTTAGGATATCTTATACGTTTTGTTCTATGAGATAATATCAGTCAGTTAACATTATCTTTATGAATTATTTGCTTCATGTGCTTTCAAAAAAATTACATAAATGCTTCAAAATTCACAAAAAGCAACGTTAGCTGATGAATATGCCGTTACTATTGCTATCTATTCTGGTTAATTCTGACGTAAACTGCCAGTATTCCATCTAGTCAAAACCCACCACCACCAATACCATCACCAACACCAGCACTGTCCATAAACTACACTCAAGACAGGAGTAGATACTCATCTCACATGATTTAAAACAATAATGGCCTTTTATTCCGATCCAACTCTGACAACACAGTTGTGTGCTCAAAAATAAATACATAATCCGTGTTAAATATGAGATTACTTTAATGCTATTGATCCATTTTTGGATTAGACATTTTGACTTTTCACCTAATTTTTGCCATGGAACAAGCAAGAGTCAGGCCCCGATCTTTGATACTATTGGATATCCGATGTACACCCGCCTCCTTCCTCTTATGATTGACCACAATAGGAACGCGCCCGAATATACTCAACAGCCATTGGTCTACCATGGTATCAATTACAAAGGTGTCTGCCCCGAAGCAAATATCAGCATAGTGTGTGAAATGCGGCGCTGAATGTCCTTCTACAGCACTTTGCATGCCCAATGTGCATTAGTAGCTTTTGGATGTAGGTATTCTCCGAACTATTGTGTTAGGTATCTTTCTTATCCATAAAAGGGTTAGCAATCTCTTGAATATACAGTTTTTAGTAGTCCATCAGAGACCGTTGACTGAGTGATCTGACAACCAGGCCGGATTGAAGCCAGCAGTATCTGTCAGTGCTCGAATCAAAGTTCCTAGCTGGCTAACTAGCATGTCCGGCTAGTGGGGTTGGTCATCAATCAGGATAGGTTTGTAATATTCCATTAGCAGCCAAAACCGAAGAGACCTTATTGATGTTACAAAGGTTATCGTCAAATATGATAACCCTTGAAAGTTGTTGTGAACCTGCAGATAGATAGCTGTGAGGGCTTGTCAGCTAGCATGATGCTAATGCTACTTTGACAGCCAGGCTGTGAGGGTCTCTCTCTTTGAGTTAATGTTTGGTCAAAGTAAAAAATAAAAACGTTAAACATGTTTATTAACTTCTAGAGGAAGCTTGTCTACTCTCATATTTAGTTGGTCGTGCTTCTTTGATGTTATGCTGGCTAGTAACTAACGTTAGCTAGCTAGTTAAGAGTGTAAGTAACGTTACAGCTGTCATGTGGTGGCCTGTGTAGCGTCTACTTCACTCTGTTCTCGATGCTGTGGGTGTGTTACATTATATAGCCTGAGACGATGTTATCTGACTAAGTTTAAGATCACAGTTAATTTCAGTTCATTACATATTTGTGAAGTAGTCAGATTTTGCTATCACTGATCGATATCACTTCATTGTGGTCCTCTGTAGCTCAATTGGTAGAGCATGGCGCTTGTAACGCCAGGGTAGTGGGTTCGATCCCCGGGACCACCCATATGTAAAAATATATGCACACATGACTGTAAGTCGCTTTGGATAAAAGCGTCTGCTAAATGGCATATTAAATTATTATTGCAGCATGATGACAACAATTCACATTCCCCCTAGGTTTACACGGGTCGAGAAACATGGTGCCTTTGGATAAGTGAAGAAGAGAGACAGGGCACCAAAACCAGTGTGGACAGGACTCTGGGAACACTGGTTGCAGCTACAGTCTGAAGCTGGACCAACGGGACCCACCCAGACTCAGAAGTGGCTGACTACAGCCCAATCACAACCAGGACCAGGCACTGTGCTGGCTGTCTGGTCTCCGAGCAGAACAGAACAGAGAAGGAAGCCCCTTAGGAGGTGGATGTTAAGGGGTTGTTGGAGGCTCTGTGGGCATTCTACTGAAATGTCAATCAGAAGAGCAGAAGGGATGTCTATTGCCCAGGCCTTGGCCATGACTGTGGCTGAGATCCCTGTGTTTCTCTACTCCACCTTTGGGCAGGTAAACAACGTCCCCAAGAAGACACATTTTCAAGTAAACTATTGAATATGTTTGTAAGAATCTGCTCCAAAAACATTGCAAAGAACGATGTTGCCAAAAAAAAGCATATGTTTGTTCATTATTAGCAAGTAACTGTTATTTGCACCCCCCAATATTTGACACACAGAAGATACACACTCAAGTGGTTTGAGCTTGTGGTGACCACTCACCCCATCTCTTTTCCCATCAGTCCATATTCTCTCAGCTGAAGCTTTCTCCCAGTCTGAAGAAGGTGCTGTTCGCCACGGCTCTGGGGAGCGTAGCCCTGGCCCTCACCGCCCACCACATGAAGAGACGCGGCAGGAAACGGAAACAGGCAACGGCTGCGAAAGATGAGCAGAAGCAGGTGGGAATACCAGAGGCGTTGCTCCGGTCAGGGAGACCATCATCTCTGAGGAGAGGTGAGTTTCACTTCAATGTGATTGCTGGTGGTTTCAATCAGGCTGTGGAATTGGCTCATGATTTGTTGATGTGTTTGTTGATTGGCTGATTGACCTCAAGGAAGTAAAAGGGATTAAGTCAAGTAAGTTGGCTCATTGACACACTGGTGTTTCCATAAGGCTGTGTGGACACTGTATGTGAAAGCTGTTTCAGCATGATCACGATTAGAACACCAGTTTTAATGTGATCCAAATGCCTTGTTGATAGAAGTGTTAGCTAACAGCCGCATTTCCGTCCCAGGTGGTCCGTTTCCCGGGCGACAGATAATGAGCCCCAGCGTGCGGAGCAACGAAACAATGAGCGGCATCTCTTCACTGGCTCCCAGCAAACACTCAAGCTCCTCCCACAGCATAGCTTCTGTACGTTTGACACTCCTTACTTTCTTTCTATCACTCAAATAAAACACATTTTTCATATACGCCGAATATAACTGGTGTAGACTTTACCATGAAATGCTTTCTTACGAGCCCTTCCCAATGATGCAGAAAAAAAAATAGTAACACAAGGAATCAAATATACAGTGGAGCTATATACAGGGAGTACCAGTACCAGATCAATGTGGAGCTATATACAGGGAGTACCAGTACCAGATCAATGTGGAGCTATATACAGGGAGTACCAGTACCAGGTCAATGTGGAGCTATATACAGGGAGTACCAGTACCAGATCAATGTGGAGCTATATACAGGGAGTACCAGTACCAGGTCAATGTGGAGCTATATACAGGGAGTACCAGTACCAGATCAATGTGGAGCTATAAACAGGGAGTACCAGTACCAGATCAATGTGGAGCTATATACAGGGAGTACCAGTACCAGATCAATGTGGAGCTATAAACAGGGAGTACCTGTATCAATGTGCAGGGATATGAGGTATTTGAGGTAGATATGTACATGAAGGCAGGGCAATGTGACTAGGCATTAGAATAGAAAACAATAAGAGTAAAATAAAGAACAGAGTAGCCTCAGCAAATTGTGTAAAAGTGTGTTTGTGTTATGTCGGTGTGCGAATGTAAATGTGTGTGTACGCGTAGGGTCAGTGCAGATAGTCAATTAAATGGTTACCCGGGCTATCTAGCATTCTTATGGCTATTAAGCAGTCTTATGGCTTGGGGGTGGAAGCTGTCTCGTAGCCTGTTGGTCCTAGAGCCGATGATCCGGTACCGTTTGCCAGATGATAGTGGAGTGAACAGTCTATGGCTTGGGTGGCTGGAGTCTTTGGCAATTTTTCAGGCCTTTTTCTGACACCGCCTGATATTAGAGGTCCTAGATGGCAGGGAGCTGAGCCCCAGTGACGTACTGGGCTGTCCGTACCACCCTCTGTAGCGTTTTGCGGTCAAGGGCGGTGCATTTGCCATACCAAGCGGGGATGCAGACAGTCAAGATGCTCTCGATGGTGCAGCTGTATAACTTTTTGAGGATTCGAGGGCCTATACCAAAGGGGAAAGAGGCGCTGCCGTGTCCCTTTCACGACTGTGCGGGTGTGTGTGGACCATGTTAAGTCCTTAGTGATGTGGACACCAAAGAACTTGAAGCTCTCAACCCACTCCACTACAGCCCCGTCGATGTGGATGGGGACGTGCTCTCCCCCCTGTTTCCTGTAGTCCACAATCAGCTCCTTGGTCTTACTGACGTTGAGGGAGAGGTTGTTGTCCTGGCACCACACTGATAAGTCTCTGACCTCCTCCCTGTAGGCTGTCTTATCGCTGTCAGTGATCAGGCCTACCACTGTCGTGTCGTCAGCAAACTTGATGATGGTGTTGGAGTCGTGCGTGGCCATGCAGTCGTGGGTGAACAGGGAGTACAGGAGGGGACTATGCACACACCCCTGAGGGGCCTCTGTGTTGAGGATCCACATGGCGGAGGTGTTGTTGCCTACCCTCACCACCTGGAGTCGGCCCATCAGGAAGTCCAGGATCCAGTTGCAGAGGGAGGTGTTCAGTCCCAGGGTCCATAGCTTGGTGATGAGCTTGGAGGGAACTACGGTGTTGAACGCTGAGCTGTAGTCTATGAAGAGCATTCTCACATAGTTCTCACTCATTCTGATTTCACTCCTCTTTCTCAGTGTATCCTTTACCTCACTTAACTCTTTTTAGATCCTCGTGGTCCATGGTCCCTCAAGAATTCAATTTGTAATTGGCTTTTTGTTGTGTCACAGATGCGAGTCCCGACTTCTCCGAACCAGTCGGCCAATCCGTCGACTCCCTGGGAGGCAGAGCCTGTGGAGGAGGAGTCGGGAGCCATGGGGGACGCAAACGCAGAGAACCTGTACATCATTGGTAATAATACCCCTTCATGAATTCCCTCAAAGATTCAGCGAAGGGGACTGTCCATAACAAACTGAGACAGTGTTTGATGTGCTTTTACATTTTGAGTGATTTAGCAGCCACTCTTATCCAGAGTGACTTACAGGAGAAAATAGGGTTAAGTGCTTTGCTCAAGGGCACATCGACAGATTTTTCACCTTGTCTGCTCTGGGATTCGAACCAGCAACTATTCAGTTACTGGCCCAACGCTCTAAACGCTAGGCTACCCGCCCGGAAATGGGGAAAAGTATTTCCCAAAGTGGAATTGGTCATTAGTTGACATTCAGAAGAACTGTTTGGCTCAATGCAAGGGGCTATGAGGACCCTTGGGTAGAGGAAGAATAGGAGCGGGACATTGATATAGAGGGTTACATCTGACTATGTTGTATTTCCTTCACTGTTAGTCTTTCCATTAATACCTGGACAAAGACATCTCTGTAATTCATCTAGACTCAGTTATCTTTCCTTGAAAACCAAATGTCTGGGAGGCCTCCCAGTCCTTAGATGTCATTATCAAACAACCTGGCAGGATAGCATCACTCATCCTGGCATTTTACAATGCATCAAAATACTAAGTACTGCAATTAAGCTGTGGTTGTGTTCCAATCTCCCTACTGTTTTTTCCCCAATGTACAATCGCTCTCTCCCTCTACTGCATTTAAAGAAACAATGGATTGATTTAAGCATGGGTTTTACATCCACCAAGTGCACTGCACACTGGTGGAAAGGGTAAGGAATAGGAACAGACCCTAAAGTAACCCCCCCCCAGGAATACCATTCTTCCTGATTAATTCGTAATTCCTGCTTTTCTGGCATTTATCATTCATATCATTGAACCTACCTATCCCTTAGCCAAAATCCAGATTTTCTATGTTGTTCTAATCACATCTCTCCCCTCCCCCAGGCATGGAGCTGTTTGAAGAGGCCCTTCAGAAGTGGGAGCAGGCCCTGAACATTCGGCACCACACCCACTCCAATGCCTCCAACGCCAGTACCAGCCTGGCCCTGGAGGGGGCAGCGGCCTGCCCCGACCTGCCCACGGTACGCCACAGAACTATATCACTCTCAACGGTACGGTACACTTTTATTTATTTGATTTATCCTTTATTTAACAAGGTGAGTCCCATTGAGATATGCATCTCGTTCTCAACGGAGCCCTGGTCAAGAGGAAACAGCACTCTCACAAATCCACCAAAGATTACATTAAAACTGGAGGCCAGTGTCACTTAAAATCGGAGGGCAGGCTCATTGTAATGGCTGGAGTGGAATTGAATGAGCCCATCATCCGATTTCTTCCTCCACCAGCCTCCATTTCCTTAAAGATTCAGAGAAAGGATGGGCAACTCCGGCCCTGGAGGGCCACTGTGATTTGAATTAATCAACTAATGTAGTGATGTTTGTTTTCATGGTTTCAGTCTGAGTCGCGTAACAAGGTCTTTGCCGAGAAGCTGGAGACCCTCCTGCACCGGGCCTACCACCTACAGGAGGACTTCGGTACCACCATTCCCCCAGATAGCCTGCTGGCAGACTTTGGTAATTAATATGCCACAATGTTTTTGTTATTAGCCATTAGCATGCAGCTAGCGCAAATCTGTTGATTTCCTTTTGGATGGTAACTGTAGCATTTAGCTATTAGCATGCAACATGAATCTGTTGATTTTCTGTTTACACAGTAGCTTTTATCCATAATGGGTCATTTGGCTTACATAGTCCTTGTGTTGTGGCTCAGACTGTTTGCTTTGTTGTCCTGTCAGAGAGTGAGGATACACTCATCCTGCCAAACTTGGAGAGTAGAATTCGCGAAGACGACGCCACTACGATCACTTCGGACGACTCCTTCTTCTCAGCGGCAGAAGTTTGTTTCTCTTTCTTTCTCTATCTCTCTTTCACTCACGCACGTATGCTCTCTTTCTCTCTCCCTCACACAGTCTCTCTCTCTCTCATATGACTATCATATATCCTATGTTTTGAACATGTGTTGAAGATTGTGCCTCTCCCTCTCTACTCTGCAGCTGTTTGACAACCTATCTCTGGAGGTGTGTCAGCCTCTGAGGCCCGCTGCTCTTTACGATGAGGCTGTGTCACTAGTCCAGGACGGCAGCGTGCCCTGTCGAGAGCTCCGGTAAGGACTAGCTAGGTACTGGACCTAGGTTCAAATAATAGTAGTATTTTTGGAGCACTTGATTGAGTGCCAGATGGGAGAGTGTACTTTTGGGACTATTCCATAGATTCCATTGCGCCAGGGAAGATCAATCAAGCGCAGCTCTAAGTATTTGGAAGAAAACAAATACTATTTGTGAAGTGTTACTCACAACCATATATTTGTGACATAAAACTAACTGATAACTATTCGCATTTCTGATTTCCATCTTTTCCCCCTTGCCGTCCCTCAGAACTGAGCTGCTAGAATGCTACGGTGACCAAGACTTCCTAGCCAAGCTCCACTGTGTGAGACAAGCCTTCCAGGTCTGAAATCCTTACTGAAGATGACTTATTGGTATATGGACAATGTCTCTATGGATTTGATGTGACTAAGATGGGTCATCTTTGCTGAAGTTCACAGCAGTTGTTGTTTCGGCAGGTTCTGTTGCTGGACGAAACTCACCGGACGTTCTTCATGGAGACCGGCAAGCAGATGATCACAGGACTCATGACCAAGGCAAACAAGGTGACAACACTAACCCATACAATACAATGTAACTTTGTCCATTGAAATGGAAATGTAGTATTTCTGCTGTAAGTTATTTCATTCCCATCCTCCCGGACGGACAGTACACAGAGTGAGACTGCTCCTCACCAACACTCTTCTTCTCTCTGAACATGAATGTTACTTTATAATGAAATCCTCTGATTGGGTTTTTTGTTGAGTTGGTTGTGTTCCTCTTTCACCTGTAGAGTCCCAAAGCCTTTCTGGAAACCTATGAGGACATGCTTCTCTACACCCAGAGAGAGGAGACCTGGCCAGTCAGCAAGATGGAACTGCAGGGGCGAGGGGTGAGACATTATTTTCCAAAAAAATTTATGTTTTCTCTCTTTTGTACCTTCAAGATGCTGTAGGTAGAATCAGTGTCTATAAATTGCTCTGGGTAGACTGACTTTAGTGCGTGACAACTCGTGAACTCTCACATTTTCCATGTGGTATGAAGCTGGGCCATATTCATTACAAACCAAACAGACTGAAACAGGTAGGGACTACCGTTTAGTTTTTTCTTCTACCAATAACAAACGCTCGTTATTCTATGGTGTGCCCTAATGAATATATGTCCCAGGTGTGTTTAAAGCTCCTGACCTCGTATGATCTATGACCTTTATCAGGTGGTGGTTATGAACTTCTTTGACATCGTGCTGGACTTCATCCTGATGGATGCCTTCGATGACCTGGAGAGCCCGCCCTCGTCCGTTGTGGCCGTGCTCAGGAACCGTTGGCTCTCTGACAGCTTCAAAGAGACGGTGAGACAGACAGACACACACAATCCTATAGTCAACATGATCTATTGATACTAGCTCTGTTACAACTGCAATACAAACACAACCAACATTACACAGCATAATTATAATTACACAGGCAGACATAGAAAACAGGCTCTATTGCATTCACTGCAACTATACCATTGGTTAAAATGTAATAAAGCATACTTTGTGTGTGTTTCTCAGGCCCTGGCTACTGCGTGCTGGTCCGTTCTGAAGGCCAAGCGGCGTCTGTTGATGGTTCCAGACGGCTTCATCTCCCACTTCTACGCCATATCAGAACAGGTCAGCCCCGTCCTGGCCTTTGGCTTCCTGGGGCCGCGACAGCACCTCAGTGAGGTGTGCACCATCTTCAAGGTGAGTTTTAATCGTAACTTTTTTCCCCCTGACTTTTAGTCTCCAATTTACTACTAGCGGTATTTAGAGGTCACACATCACTTCTATGTTTTTATTTGCTACTAATTTACTCTTCATTCACTTGTGATTTTGTAAGGAATTTTGTACTTGTGCTTTCTGTGTCTGTCTGCGTCCTTCCTTCCATCTGTCTGTCCTTGTTACCTTACATCACCAGTTTAATCACACTGATCTCTACGATGCCTTCATCTCTCAAGTATCATAATCCCTGTAGACAGTCTACCGATTTTCAGGAGTGAAAATGAATGTGGAAAACAAAGATTGCTTTTTCTTAGAGGACATTCCTCACAATATACTGAACTCTGTATTTGCTTATTTCTCCCTCTGTCTTTCTCTTCTCCCTCCCCAGCAACAAATAGTGCAGTACCTGAAGGACATGTTTGACCACGACAAGGTGCGCTTCACCTCGGCCCAGTCGTTAGCCGAGGACATCCTGAGCCTGTCCCACCGCCGCAGTGACATCCTGCTGGGCTACCTGGGCATCGACAGCCTGCTGCAGCCCAACGGAGCTCTGCCCCAAGGAGACACAGAAGCCGGCCCCAGCCCCTCCAACCACCACTGAGACATGGGTAGTGATCAGTAGGGATGTTATGAAAGAGTGAAACGGGGAGGTAATACATTAATTTGTCCAATAAGAACATCGATTTTCATTTTCAGTTAGAAAGTGGTTTGCTACTGTGTGGCGTAATGAATATGACCCTGTGTCTGATTTAGCTGGGCTGGAAGGGACTGGACTGGTTTTGTCAAAGCCGCACTTAACAGGCAAGATTTAGGAGGGTTGTTATTTTCATGCTTGAACTGCAGCATCACCTTGTCAGTCTGTGGTACTACACCCTAAACATAACAGCCACCAATCGAACAGAACCCGACTTGTATTGAACCTTACATGAAAGAGGGACGTTTTTGTTCCATCTCTCCCCTTATGTTTTATCATCAGAGTTTTATCTGGAGTTTTAGATCAGTCAATACTAGTAATCCCTTTTTTCCCCCCATGTCTGATGAATCAACAACCAACCGACAAGAAAATGTTTATGTTGTGTCTATGTAATGGATGTACTGTAAGTGTGTATTCTGAGGCAGGGGATCCGAACCAATCCCCTCTTTATTATCATCCTGACACCCTTGGCCAATAGAAGGTGTGCACTGAGACGTGATGTCATAGTCTGCTGCAGGACTCATTGCTTCTGTCTCCTCTATCCATTGATTTGATCATCCATTTCATTTAGCATATATAGTGTTAGGTGCCGTATTGATGAAAAAAGCACCTATTCATTCAAGAGAATCTGTAATACAAATGTCTAATACTGTACGTAAGGTCAGGCAGGGCATTGGACAGTTAGAAACTTGTGTGTACAGAAAAGTGCACTGATATTCCTATCTTGTCCTAATACTTAAAATATTGTGATATTGTCAGTATCAAGGTACTGTGGGGGTAAAAAAGATGACAAACAGGGGGATAACACCCCTGAAATCCTAATAATATACTGTAGCATTTACCTCGGTGACAAACTGACGCGTGACAATGCAGGCTGAATTTAGACTACGCTTGGGAGAACAAGAAATAGGATATCATTAACTGCTTTGATGAAATGGGAGACTGTCAATTCTGATGATTGGTGTCGAGTTCGGTGTGTGTGTGTGAGAGTGTAATCCATCATTCTTATTGTCTGTAATCACGCTTAGTCTGTAAGAAACCGTGATACCGGTATGTACCGCACCTAATGTTATGTACCTAACGGAGCAGGATGAGATGTGGTCTATCCAGACTTTTTTTAAAAAGTTAATTTCTGCTGTTTTTGAGAAGCATTGTTTCTGAATAGCACGCTTCCCACTACTAATATTCTCACATGCCCTCTGCTCTCAACAAAAGACAGGAGCAATTTCTGAATAGCGCGCTTCCCACTACTAATATTCTCACATGCCCTCTGCTCTCAACAAAAGACAGGAGCAATACTACCTTACATGTTTGAATTCACAGGTACCTTGTACTGAGCTCTGTCACATTTTGTTGAAATGGGGATTGTCAAAGCCGATAAGTCTATGTACATTAGAATGTTGTGATATAGTATGCGGTTAGTGTGATCTTGATATAAGAGTTCAGTATATTGTAGCCGTGTATTCAGAATCGGCTTTGGGGGTATATTGTTAGCCTCTCCCCTGTAACTATTTCCCAGGTCATCGCTGTAAATTAGAATGTGTTCTCAGTCAACTTACCTGGTAAAATAAGGGTAAAATAAAAATCCTTTATCTGTTATATCAAGCTTGAAGCCTAACTTAAAAATACCTACTACTGTTTATGGAGCTTTTCTAGTAACCAGTAGAATTAAACTTGATTGTCTTTTTTTTCTGGCACATGAAAGATCCTTCCTTTGCACTTTAATGGGAAAATACATATTTAAACGCTCTTCTAACCCTATATATTTTTTATCAAAATAGTTGGATAGCGCGGTTGAGGCATAGGTCATTGGTAGGCCTAGTTTTTAAATGTTCTTGGTCATAGAAAAGTACTGATGTTATTGGAGATACTTGACATGCATAAATGATAACAAGGTTGAGGCTTTTTCCCTAGAAATGGCATTATTGAATACCCATTGTAAGGTTGGCAGACAATGTGCCAGACAATGTATTAGATTGAATTCTTGTTTACTGTACATGTGATTTGTTGGTCTAATTTGTGCAAATTATCCCTCAGGCCTATATTCGAATCAGATATTCCTATTGGGTTATTCAAATCAATTGATTGACAAATGAAAACTGTCCTGCCTATTTTGGGATCTCCTAGGCTCCAATTACTATAAAATGTATAGTGTATGATGATATGATATAGGAATCAATCAATATGTATCACATCCCAATGGGAGATTAATGTAATAGTTATGTGTTACTGCTCAGATACCCAAATTATGGCCTTTGGGTTGAGAGATCAGTTTACTTTTCCTTCTCGGTTGAACCAAAAATAGATCTATACGTATTATCAGAGAATCCCACTATCCTCAGCAGCCTTTGCATGTGGACCCGTCATACCTTTACTGCTGTTTGCATCTTGTTCATGTGACCCATCAATCAGCATAGTGTTGGATTACATTAATGCCCTGTGACTTCCTTTGAATTATCTTATTTACCAGTAATTGTGGTATCAAAACTAGGAACATTTCAACACAAATTGCAGATTTTAGTGAACAATTAACTGCTTAACTGTTTACTCTGTACTGTATCAATTATACTTCAACCTCAGAATTCAGGTGTAGGATCTCTTATGTAAGATGATGAGACAAGCTAGTTAACGCTTTGCTTATTCAATCTCTTAAACGTCTGCATTGAGACATTAGAGGTTTATGATGATTTCAAATGGCCAAAGAGGAGAAAACCGAGTAAGAAGTTTTAGTTTTAAGTATGAAATTACTTGTTGTACACTACAAGTGTCCTATTCATGCCTTTTGTCTTTTTATTGTTGTGAAATTACAATGCCAGCACAAACTGTAAACATTTTAGAATCTGCATTTTTTTTTTCCTTATTAAAATATCTATTAATTGGACTTTTTCCAATCAAACAAAAATTGTGACTGTCTTTGGCTTATGGCATTGCATCACCTAAAAGAGAGATCTCTCAGGACATCAGTCAAGCTTTCAAGTCAACGGTCAAGTGTGAATGACAATTCTACTTCCACATTTCTTTGCTATAGCCTTTTGTACTGTACATGAAAGTATGGGGTCAGACATTTGTCAAGTATATTTAAGGATAGCTAAATATACTGAACAAAAATATAAATGCAACATGTAAAGTGTTGGTCCCATGTTTCATGAGCTGAAATAAAATTACAGAAATGTTACATATGCACAAAAAGGCGTATTTCTCTAAAACGTTGTGCACAAATTTGTTTACATCCCTGTTAGCAAGCATTTCTCCTTTACCAAGATAGTCCATCCACCTGACAGGTGTGGCATATCAAGAAGCTGATTAAACAGCATGATCATTACACAGGTGCACCTTGTTTTGGGGAAAATAAAAGGCCACACAAATGTGTAGTTTTGTCACACAACACAAGGCCACAAGTTTTGAGGGAGCGTGCAATTGGCATGCTGACTGCCAGAATGTCCACCAGAGCTGTTGCCAAATAATTTAACGTTAATTTCTCTACCATAAGCCGCCTCCAATGTCATTTTAGAGAATTCGGCTGTATGTCCAACAGGCCTCACAACCGCAGACCAGGCGTAACCACCAGGGCTTCTTCACCTGCGGGATTGTCTGAGACCAGCCACCTGGACAGCTGTTGAAACTGCAGAGTATTTCTGTCTGTAATAATGCCCTTTTGTGGGGAAAAACTCATTTTGATTGGCCATATTTCTTTCATGGCGATCTACTCTTGTGAATGGATGATTTTCGTAGAAGAGACCGTGTTTCCAATTGGTTGGACGGATTACGTATTACATTCTGATTCGTCGATCCACATTGCCCGGTGTCCGGGAAAGATGGCGTCGGAAGAACAGTGCTCGGTACCACTTCGATGGCGGTCGATATCGCTAACCCACGTAGAGTTCCCTGCTGGTAAGTGTATTTACTACGCGTTACTCTTCGTTTACATTCGTCTGATAGATGCTCGAAACTTCTGTAATCTGCAAGAAATCGTGAGATGATTTGCAACTGATTGGGCACGACCGACGGGAACTGCCAAATAATGAGACCTGAAAAAAGCGTACACAGCTCCGAACGTGAACTGCCAAATTGTGTGACAGTTCCGCATGCGCAGTTGGGAAGTTGTCCACAATGCCAAGCTAACTAGCTCGAGCTTTCATTGCTACATATAAGTGTTGTATTTAAAAATGGTCATATACAACCCATGCCCATAATGAAATGTTTTCGTTTCGAATGTATCTAGTTTGCATCTTTTAGAGTTGCTACTTTACTACTGGCCCAGTATAGCCAACTCGTTTTGTGAGATCGTAAGGTAGCTAGCTAAATTAACGTTAGCTGCTTAGCTGAAAGACACGGAGTGTAGTTGGCCAGCTAACGTTATGCCTTCCAAGCCTCAAACATGAACATTGACAAAACATATGTGGATCGTGTTACCTTTATCACGCAAATTTACAATTTGTAATGCCTTGTACAAACACCTTCACGTTAGCTGGTTTAGATAACTTGCCAACTACCCAGTACACCAACCTTCACCCATTGTAATGGCACGTGGGTAACGATAAAAAAAATGAATCATACAATTTAGCTTACTAACCTTATCGTGTTTGAATATTAACTCTAACAATCAGCTATATCACATTGAGCATGTAACTGCTGCTTGATGCTAGCTACAGATTGTAACACCTGAGAATGTGAGTTTACCAAAGATTTTTGGTATCCATTACTGGGAGTTACAGGTTAGGTACTGTTTGGTGTAGCACAGAATGTTCTACCAACCTTAAAGATGTGCTATGCAGAACTCAATCCGCCATTTCCCAGTCGCAAGAAATCTAAGTTTGCCTAATTTTAGTTTGTGACAAAACAAGCAAGTACAGTGAATCATTGTTCCATCTAAACCGTTGTGAAATATATTTCCCATTACCCAAAACATTTTATTTTCATCTGTTTGAAGCTGGTGTACCAAACCGAAAGTCAAAAACGAAACTTAACAGGAAGCATATAATTTGCTCACATAGAACAGATCTACTGCATCTTAGTCTTGCTTTGAATAAGAATGACAGATCTACAACACACATTTATATGTGAATTTGGTCAGGTTGCCCAAAAAGTTACATATTGCAGCTTTAACGGCATCCACATGATTCCCAGCCGAAACAGTTTGTTCATATAATATGATGACATTTTGTGAAGTTTGTCTTCAGCAAGGATTTTTTCGGTTGTTCCTGCACACCCCAAAAATTCTCGAGGCAATCTGAAGTCGGTAGCTGAAGTCTACACCCCTTCCTTGGTCATTGGTCAACAGTAGGATTTTTTTCAATGAAGTGTGTTCAATCGTTTTCATGTAGAATTTTTTTTTAAATTGAGAAATACTGCACCAAACATCTTAGTTAGATGTAAAATTGCATGACTAAGATGTCCTTGGCTAAAACGTCAAAATTAATGATATTTCATGAGTTATCTTAGATTAATTTAGACTATTTTGAGGAAGCGTATACTTGCAACAGCGTCTCAAAATTGACAAAAAGTGCTCTTACCACTTTTCTCGTTTTTCAAGCAAATCTCTTCAGGGAGTATGCGAGCTAGGGTTGACCCCAGTTAGTCGACTAGTCGATTGTTTGGTGGATAGACTGTTGGTTGACCGAGATTTCTTTAGTTGACCAGTCACTTTTATTTTTTTCATGGCGCACGAAACACCTACCTGATCTGATTCGCGAATGTCTCAGTGGACTAATCCATTGCTGAGGCCACTGGGATGGCACAGTCCATCACTCTAAGACATGTGATAATGAAATTGTATATGGTTATATTATGTACAAATAATGGCGCAACACTAATACATCTAATCAGGGGCGGTGTGTTCATTAGGGCGATATGGGCGACGCACTGCCAAACGGGAAAAGGAAGGGATTTTTTTTCTAATCAATTATATCACGGCAACAGTAGTTTTCAGTGTTCTAATCTAGACGTCTGATCTGCCACTAAATGTCCAATCAGGCTAAGAAAAGAGCAGGTAGCAGCGTCAATCAATTCACGTACAACTGTCAAGATGGCTAGCTTTGCGAGGCAAAGATGAAACTGAGGGCTCCACCAACCCTGGTATTTTTCTTGGACTTGTCAACTTTGTGGCACAATTAGATGAGGTGTTTGATGACCATCTTAAAAATGCTAAAGTTTTCAAGGGCACATCAAAGACCATTCAAAACGAGCTACTGGAGTGTATGCTAGCGGTCATGAGGGAACATATTGTGGAGGAGGTGAAGTCGGCGAACTTCGTAGCTATCCAAGCTGACGAGACCACGGACGTTTCTACACAGACACAGCTGGTGCTTGTGCTGAGGTACATAGATAGCAACCACAAAGTGCAGGAGCGCTTTTTTGAGTTCCTTCCCATCTCGGAATCAACCTCAGTCTCAATCGCCAGTGTGCTTTTGGAGAGACTGAACGGTCTTTTTGCCGACGACGAGAAAGTCAAACTCATTGCGCAAGCTTACGATGGAGCCAGTGTGAGGGGAGAGAAGGCTGGTGTGCAGCAAAAGGTGCGTAAGCATTTCAAGAATGCCCATTACGTGCATTGCTATGCGCATCAGCTGAATTTGATCATGCAGCAAGCTAGAACAGTTTCAGTACAAGTAATGTAGCCTCTCTCTCTCTTTGTCCCTCCCTGTCTGTCTCTTTAACACACACACACCCAAATCAGTTCACAGTTGATGTTGTTTAAAATAGTTATTTTTCATTTAAAAAAAAGTAAAACAAAAAAAATAATCTGTTCATGTTCATTTTTACAAATCTATACAATTGGCCAGAATATGGTTGTTCATATTTACAAATCTATACAATTGGCCAGAATATGGTTGTTCATTTTTACAAAGCCATACAGATAGCTGTGTTTACCTTTTCTAGAAATTATTTTCAAATTCTGTTTTCAGGCAAAATGTCTATCACTGTTCATTTTCACAAATCTATACAAGAGGGCAGAATATGGAAGTCTATAAAAAATTCTTATTACCAATAACTTGCATCAATGTTTTCAGTAGCCTCTATCAAAAGCTCCTGCTTGCTTGTTGTGAATTATGCTCAGGTGCACATATTTCCAATTCAACCATGAGGCCTTTTTGAAGCAAGTAATGTGTATATCAGTATTGACTTATATGCTGCCCCTGTCTTCATGTTGTTGCTGGACATATCTTTTTTAAAATGTGTGTAGGTCACCTAAATCATCAGAAAAATTGCCCCCCCTGAGAATTTTTTCAGGAGCCGCCACTGCATCTAATATTATTTTATAACATGCGCTTTCTCCCGCGTTGGATATGGTTGCTGTCCACGGTACTGAAACATAATCTTCAGTGCGCCGTAGAATTGGCACCTTTCCCTATGTTGCTATGTGCATAATAGCAAAATTAACAAGCATATTGAGAGCAGCAGGGAAGAGGAAACAGCCCTTGCCTTAAGCCCTATTCGGAAGGGATTAGTTTTACTGGGGGTGGTCGGGTAATGTAATTATGTGCACAAGCACAAAACACCACATCTGTAATTTTAGTCCCTTCCGGATCTGCCATGTCAGTAATTTGTACAGAGTAACAATTCCAGACAGAATAACTTACTGTTCTTTGGCAAACTCAAAGATCCTCTGATAATACTAGTCCCGTGCGAATCGACATTCTTGTGTTTTGAGAGGAATGTCTGAGTTTGACAGGTATCTCGTGGTTTGAGCAAGAAAACAATAACTGATTCGATAAATGGAATGAAGTGCTGCGCATAGCCTATATATGAAGGGCCTACCTACATGTATTAACTTTCAGTGAATTATTTGTTATATATGTTTTGTGCGTATGAGTTGAATATTGCCGAATGCATCAGTAAAAAATATTGTGCCTATTTAAGATCGCAAAGCGTCATACAACTGGCCTAAACGTTTGGAAATTATAAATTCACTTTCGCATCCATAGCCTTAACGCATCTCAAGTGCAAGTGCACTGTTTAGCTCACATCTGAAGGCTCGGGGACATTTAGATCGCTAAAATATCCTAATGATTATGATCACACTTGGTCAACTCAAATATTATGGCGACACTATACCAAAGATGGTTTGGTATGTTTTAGAAACTTGGGAACCAAGCTCTAGTTATCAGTGTAGCCCAGTTATCACCTGGACTTGTCATCTTCATGCCTAGAAAAAAAACTCCAGGCTTCCCTCATGACGGTCAATTTATTTGGAAAATAATGAAGAATTACAGGGGGCAGTTAAGAAAAAACGAATCCAGTCCGAATCGTCCTCTGGAGCAACGGACATTCTGGGGTAATACTTACATAACCAACGTTCTCCAGTAATACTAGTCCCGTGCAAATAAGGCTTAGCCTAATTGTCTAAGAATATTGAGAGAGCAAACTCCAACTTAATTAGGTCATTAATCAATAGCCTAACTGTTAAATGTGGCTGGGTTTATAAATCATCCATATATAACTACATAAATAAGACAGATCTTGCTTCTGTTGCCTGTTTGAGTGTTTGTTTAGTAGCCTACTGATTCCGTGAGCACCAAGCCTCATGCAATGGCAACATGTTGGAAAAAACAAGTTCACAGATTTGGCTGTTTTTAATCTTCACTATGCTGTAATAAAGGCTTTACTTTTTTTGTTCGAACAGACTGGTATTACTTATAATGTATTTAGTGTTTACACTGTTCCAAACGGGCAGAAAAATAATATTGTAATCTAATTACATTGCAATTACTATTTACCTACATTGTTGTTACTAAGATGATTACTATGTAGTTACTATATAACATCAACTCAATTTATAAGTGCTCTGGATAAGAGCGTCTGCTAAATTATGTAAATGTAATCTAATAGCACCTGTTTGTCACATAATATGCATGCAGCTCTCGCTCCTATACCGTCCTTTTCTTGATATCCTTATTATTATGATCATTATAATAATTGTAATGTCTTTATCATTAGTAGGCTTTGTATAGTAGCTTTGTATAACCACCATCGAGCTGTAAGCCTAAGGGCGCGTCCTGTTTAGTCTTAATACCATAACTTACTTATGCCTATATTCCAATATATAGGCTACTGTATAAATCATTCATTCGTTCATGCCATCACACAGCATACAAGACATTCATGCTTTGAAATGCAATCAAGCATTTTAGTTTTAAAATTAAATAATGAAGGGAGCTTTGAATAATTAGCCTAAACAATAAATAAACCGCAATTCACGAATGCATGCAACTGTTTTTAGTCTGCTGTAATAAAGGCCTTATCTTTTTTTTTCTCGTTAGAACAGACTCTCTGGTACACTTATTTGTTGTTTACAATGTTCGAAATGGTCAGAAAATTAGAATATTGTAATTTAACAGCAACTGTTTGGCACACATAATACTCACGCAGTGCTTGCTCCTATACCCTCCCTTTTCTTGATCTCCAGTAGTTTTCACAACTAAGTCATATCTTCAACAGATCTGACTTCCCCTTTCCCTCCTGAGCAATCAGTAAACATTTGCCTGTTTCGAGTTTATTTTTCACGTCCTCCGCATCCATTTTGCTGTCAACATTACTGTGTTCAGAGTTTGTTATAACCAATTTATTAATGGGATTATGATAGGCTAAATAGGTCAGGCCCTATTGGTCGCATGCGATGCTTACATGTTTCACGTAAAGAGGGAAAGGGTTGAGGGAATAGGGAATGTTTTTCCTAAACAAATTAAGGATTTCAGTAACAGAACCTTTTCAGTCAGAAACAAGTAAGAAACTAAATGGCTGAAATTATGTTGCAGCTTCAGCACGGACAGCGCCATAAACACTTGCTGTGTTGTGGTGCATTTTCACTGCAGTAGGGAGGAGAGTGAGACAATGTGCACCAGTCACACAGGCACATAATTTTTTTTAACACTGTTTGCCCATCGGGCTCTTTCTTGAGTCATTTGTGTGTCTTCATTATTTAATCAAACATTGTGCTTAAAGCATCAGACAAGCTCAGTGCATATGTAGTTGGTTTTATTCAAACAGATAGGGTGTGTCTGTCTATATATGGAAAAATAAGTTTAAACATTTTGACCAATCGATTGGTCGAAAGAACAGGACAACTCTCGGACGACCAAGATTTTTTTTTGTCGGGGACAGCCAGTGTTGCCAACTTAGCGACTTTGTCGCTATATTTAGCGAGTATTCAGACCCCTCTAGCGACATATTTTTCAAAAAGCGACTAGCGACAAATCTAGCGACTTTTTCTGGTGTTATTGGAGACTTTTGGAGACTCTGACGTGAAAGCACGTATCGTTCTTACTCTTCTCAACGAGCAGCGGGTGCTGCCGTGGGCCCCACCCCCTCCCAAAGCATTCACAGGCGGCCCAGTCCTCGCACAGCAGTCCCTCCCAGCTGCAGTCAGAGCAGGAGATGTTCACCCCTCCGCGTCCAGACTGCAAATGAATCGCACATGTGGGAAGCCGCTGCTGGCTGATCCCGCCCTGGCTTACATTCAGGGCGGGATGGAAATGTAGGGTGTTTTTTTAGTCACTTTGTCTCTCCCACAACGCTTTTCCTCTCTCCTACAGTGTCCATCACAATTACATGCACATGGCCAATTATGCAAATTAGTTGATTACATTATTTAGCAACTTTTAGGACAGCCAATAGCGACTTTCCTTACTGAGGAGTTGGCAACACTGGGGACAGCCCTAATGCGAGCACATTCATTGGGTTCGCCTAGCTGAGTTCGGCTAGGCGGCAGCTTAACCAAAGCATTCTGACGCCTTAACTTGGCGACACAATTGTCATTCTCGATTCGGCCAAACCTGTATCTTCTAAAATGTCTTTGTCCAGTTGGAGGTGGTGCGTTTTCAATTGAGAAAATGCTCCGTTATTAAAATAAATGTTTTTCTCTATGAAGTAATCCAACAATGTGTACGCCACCATCTTGTCTTTGAAATCTTCTCTCATTGATCGAGGCAGGTGGGTCCACCCCAAAGTCCCGCATGACACTCACCTGTCTTGATCAATGAGAGAAGATTTCAAAGACAAGATGGTGGCGTACACATTGTTTGATTACTTCATGAAGCAAAACAATTATTAATTTTAGTAACAGAGCATTTTCTAAATTCAAACGCACCACCTCAACTGGACACAGACATTTTAGAAGATGCATGTTTGGATGAATTCAGAATGAAGATGGTATCGTTAAGGTTGGTTGAAATATCTGTGCTACACCAAACAGTACCTAACCTATAACTCCCAGTCATGGATACCATCTGTAGGAGTTCTGTAGCTAGCTTGATGCATGCCTCTTCTCCTTAAGTCCTCATTGATCTGTGCATTGGAAAGGTTAGCCCAGGTTCTACACAGAGTTGAGTGTTACTGTTATAATAACTGCACTTACAAGTTATTCACGGTATACATGACGTCGAGCTTGTAGGGCTGTGGAAAGTTGTAAAAGTCATATGAGAACTTCAACAGAGTATTCACCTTCTTCCTCAGAGTCATACCTAGACAGGGTAGGCACACCACAACCTATATACCCCCACATGCCCTGATGTAAGTTGTATACCCCACATGCCCTGATGTAAATTCCGCCTGAATGTTCACATTTTCCTGAAAGGGGATTGTGTATAAGAATTTCTTGTTGGTTGTTCTCAAAGGGGATCTGACAGGACAAGTGTTGGCCTACACCAGCCTGCTGCCCATAGCGATCCTCGTAGGCTTTGTCACCCTCATAGTGTTCAAGCGTGAACTGCACACGGTAAGTAATGTAACCCAGATACTTAGCCCATATGGGGTTACCCAAATCCCTGCTGGACCACTAAATGAGGATAGAACATATGACACGCACTAAGCCCTACATACAGAAATGCTTGTGCAAGGTCATATAGATTAGATTATTATTGGTCTATTGCCCATTAATAGTAAAGATTAGGCTGATGTTGCAAGTTACATTGCTGTAAGAAAATATCTAAAAGCTGTATTCATTCACATGGTGGACTAAGGCATATGATCACACCTAATCCTTTTCCCATTCCTCGTCCCTAGATCTCTTTCTTCGGTGGGCTTGTACTGAACGAAGGGGTGAATTGGCTGCTGAAGCATATTCTACGGGAGCCCCGCCCATGTGAAGGTGAGGAAAACGCCTGTAGTGACTCAGTACATTCATACAGTACATTTGGAAAGTATTCAACCCCTTGACTTTTTACACATTTGTTACGTTACAGCCTTATTCTAAAATTGATTAAATTGTTTTTTCCCCTCATCAGTCTACACACAATACCCCATAATAACAAAGCAAAAACTATTATTATTTTTTTTTTTGCAAATGTATTTAAAAAAAATCACATTTACATACAGTGAGGGGGAAAAAGTATTTGATCCCCTGCTGATTTTGATCAGTCTATAATTTTAATGGTAGGTTTATTTGAACAGTGAGAGACAGAATAACAACAAAAATATCCAGAAAAACGCATGTCAAAAATGTTATAAATTGATTTGCATTTTAATGAGGGAAATAAGTATTTGACCCCTCTGCAAAACATTACTTAGTACTTGGTGGCAAAACCCTTGTTGGCAATCACAGAGGTCAGACGTTTCTTGTAGTTGACCACCAGGTTTGCACACATCTCAGGAGGGATGTTGTCCCACTCCTCTTTGCAGATCTTCTCCAAGTCATTAAGGTTTCGAGGCTGACGTTTAGCAACTCGAACCTTCAGCTCCCTCCACAGATTTTCTATGGGATTAAGGTCTGGAGACTGGCTAGGCCACTCTAGGACCTTAATGTGCTTCTTCTTGAGCCACTCCTTTGTTGCCTTGGCCGTGTGTTTTGGGTCATTGTCATACTGGAATACCCATCCGCGACCCATTTTCAATGCCCTGGCTAAGGGAAGGAGGTTCTCACCCAAGATTTCACGGTACATGGCCCCGTCCATTGTCCCTTTGATGCGGTGAAGTTGTCCTGTCCCCTTAGCAGAAAAACACCCCCAAAGCATAATGTTTCCACCTCCATGTTTGATGGTGGGGATGGTGTTCTTGGGGTCATAGGCAGCATTCCTCCTCCTCCAAACACGGCGAGTTGAGTTGATGGCAAAGAGCTCGATTTTGGTCTCATCTGACCACAACACTTTCACCCAGTTCTCCTCTGAATCATACAGATGTTCATTGGCAAACTTCAGACGGCCCTGTATATGTGCTTTCTTGAGCAGGGGGACCTTGCGGGCGCTGCAGGATTTCAGTCCTTCACGGCGTAGTGTGTTACCAATTGTTTTCTTGGTGACTATGGTCCCAGCTGCCTTGAGATCATTGACAAGATCCTCCCGTGTAGTTCTGGGCTGATTCCTCACCGTTCTCATGATCATTGCAACTCCACGAGGTGAGATCTTGCATGGAGCCCCAGGCTGAGGGAGATTGACAGTTATTTTGTGTTTCTTCCATTTGCGAATAATCGCACCAACTTTTGTCACCTTCTCACCAAGCTGCTTGCCGATGGTCTTGTAGCCCATTCCAGCCTTGTGTAGGTCTACAATCTTGTCCCTGACATCCTTGGAGAGCTCTTTGGTCTTGGCCATGGTGGAGAGCTTGGAATGTGATTGATTGCTTCTGTGGACAGGTGTCTTTTATACAGGTAACAAACTGAGATTAGGAGCACTCCCTTTAAGAGTGTGCTCCTAATCTCAGCTCGTTACCTGTATAAAAGACACCTGGGAGCCAGAAATCTTTCTGATTGAGAGGGGGTCAAATACTTATTTCCCTCATTTAAAATGCAAATCAATTTATAACATTTTTGATATGCGTTTTTCTGGATTTTTTTGTTGTTATTCTGTCTCTCACTGTTCAAATAAACCTACCATTAATATTATAGACTGATCATTTCTTTGTCAGTGGGCAAATGTACAAAATCAGCAGGGGATCAAATACTTTTTTCCCTCACTGTAAGTATTCAGACCCTTTACTCAGTACTTTGTTGAAGCACCAGTTGGCAGCAATTACCGCCTTGAGTCTTCTTGGGTATGACGCTACAAGCTTGGCACACATTTGGGGAATTTCTCCCATTCTTCTCTGCAGGTGCTCTCAAGCTCTGTCAGGTTGGATGGGGAGCGTCGCTGCACAGCTATTTTCAGGTCTCTCCAGAGATGTTAGATCGGGTTCAAGTCCGGGCTCTGGCTGGGTCACTCAAGGACATTCAGAGACTTGTCCCGAAGCCACTCCTGCGTTGTCTTGGCTATGTGCGTAGGGTCGTTGTCCTGTTGGAAGGTGAACCTTCGCTCCAGTCTGAGGTCCTGAGCGCTCTGGAGCAGGTTTTCATCAAGGATCTCTTTGTACTTTGCTCTGTCTGGACGAAGCCACTCCTCAGTAAAAGGCACATGACAAACCGCTTGGAGTTTTCCAAAAGACGCCTAAAGGACTCTCGGACCATGAGAAACACAATTCTCTGCTCTGATGAAACCAAGGTTGAACTCTTTGGCCTGAATGCCAAGCGTCACGCCCTACGGTGAAGCATGGTGGCCGCATCATGCTGTGGGGATGTTTTTTAGAGGCAGGGACTGGAAAACTAGTCAGGATCGAGGGAAAGCTGAACGGAGCAAAGTAGAGAGAGATCCTTGATGAAAAGCTGCTCCAGAGCGCTCAGGACCTCAGACTGGAGCGAAGGTTCACCTTCCAACAGGACAATCACCCTAAGCACACAGCCCAGTCAGAGCCTGGCCTTTAACCCGATCGAACATCTCTGGAGAGACATGAAAATAGCTGTGCAGCGACGCTCCCAATCCAACCTGACAGAGCTTGACAGGATATGCAGAGAAGAATGGGAGAAACTCCCCAAGTACAGGTGTGCCAAGCTTGTAGCGTCATACCCAAGAAGAATCGTGGTTGAAATCGCTGCCAAAGGTACTTCAACAAAGTACTGAGTGAAGGGTCTGAATACTTGTGTAAATGTGATATTTCAGTTTATTATTTCATTATAAATTAGCAACAATTCCTTAACCTGTTTTTGCTTTGTCATTATGGGGTATTGTGTGTAGATTGATGAGGGGGGGGGGGGGGGGGGAACAAGTTAATCCATTTTAGAATAAGTAACGTAAAACAAAATGTGGAAAAAGTGAAGGTCTGAACTTTCCGAATGCATTGTAAACATACAAATAATTCCAATACACAGTGTCTGTCTGTGCATCAAATATACAGTAGGTGTATGGTAACATAAGTTCATACTGTAGGCAAGACAGAATGCAGAAATGGTACACAGCATTACTTAGCTAATGCTTCCAGTTCGCAGCCAGACAGATTTTGTATTAGAAAAAAACTAATGAGCCAATCGCTTTTGTATGGGTCACAGTGGAGAGAACGGGGAGCATTCAGTTGTCAGTCGATTTTTAAGGTAGTATGTTTTATTGGTGTCTCTCAGTCAGACTGAATTGTACACCAGTTTTCAATCATATATAATTATCAAATGGTAAAATCCTAAACTAGCAAAACATTTAGTATGATACAATGTTAAAATATGCTAGCTATATATATATATATATATATATATATATATATATATATATATATATATATATATATATATATATATATACATACATACAGTGAGGGGAAAAAAGTATTTGATCCCCTGCTGATTTTGTACGTTTGCCCACTGACAAAGACATGATCAATCTATAATTTTAATGGTAGGTTTATTTGAATAGTGAGAGACAGAATAACAACAAAAAAATCCAGAAAAACACATGTCAAAAATGTTAGAAATTGATTTCCATTTTAAATGAGGGAAATAAGTATTTGACCCCCTCTCAATCAGAAAGATTTCTGGCTCCCAGGTGTCTTTTATACAGCTGAGATTAGGAGCACACTATTAAAGGGAGTGCTCCTAATCTCAGTTTGTTACCTGTATAAAAGACACCTGTCCACAGAAGCAATCAATCAATCACATTCCAAGCTCTCCACCATGGCCAAGACCAAAGAGCTCTCCAAGGATGTCAGGGACAAGATTGTAGACCTACACAAGGCTGGAATGGGCTACAAGACCATCGCCAAGCAGCTTGGTGAGAAGGTGACAACAGTTGGTGCGATTATTCGCAAATGGAAGAAACACAAAATAACTGTCAATCTCCCTCGGCCTGGGGCTCCATGCAAGATCTCACCTCGTGGAGTTGCATTGATCATGAGAACGGTGAGGAATCAGCCCAGAACTTCACGGGAGGATCTTGTCAATGATCTCAAGGCAGCTGGGACCATAGTCACCAAGAAAACAATTGGTAACACACTACGCCGTGAAGGACTGAAATCCTGCAGCGCCCGCAAGGTCCCCCTGCTCAAGAAAGCACATATACAGGGCCATCTGAAGTTTGCCAATGAACATCTGAATGATTCAGAGGAGAACTGGGTGAAAGTGTTGGGGTCAGATGAGACCAAAATCGAGCTCTTTGGCATCAACTCAACTCGCCGTGTTTGGAGGAGGAGGAATGCTGCCTATGACCTCAAGAACACCATCCCCACCGTCAAACTTTGAGGTGGAAACATTATGCTTTGGGGGTGTTTTTCTGCTAAGGGGACAGGACAACTTCACTGCATCAAAGGGACGATGGACGGGGCCATGTACCGTCAAATCTTGGGTGAGAACCTCCTTCCCTCAGCCAGGGTGTTGAAAATGGGTTGTGGATGTGTATTCCAGCATGACAATAATCCAAAACACACGGCCAAGGCAACAAAGGAGTGGCTCAAGAAGAAGCACATTAAGGTCCTGGAGTGGCCTAGCCAGTCTCCAGACCTTAATCCCATAGAAAATCTGTGGAGGGAGCTGAAGATTCGAGTTGCCAAACGTCAGCCTCAACCTTAATGACTTGGAGAAGATCTGCAAAGAGGAGTTGGACAAAATCCCTCCTGAGATGTGTGCAAACCTGGTGGCCAACTACAAGAAACGTCTGACCTCTGTGATTGCCAACAAGGGTTTTGCCACCAAGTACTAAGTAATGTTTTGCAGAGGGGTCAAATACTTATTTCCCTCATTAACATGCAAATCAATTTATAACATTTTTGACATGCGTTTTTCTGATTTTTTTTGTTGTTATTCTGTCTCTCACTGTTCAAATAAACCTACCATTAAAATTATAGACTGATCATGTCTTTGTCAGTGGGCAAATGTACAAAATCAACAGGGGATCAAATACTTTTTTCCCTCACTGTGTGTGTGTGTGTATATATTCAGTGGGGAGAACAAGTATTTGATACACTGCCGATTTTGCAGGTTTTCCTACTTACAAAGCATGTAGAGGTCTGTAATTTATCATAGGTACACTTCAACTGTGAGAGACGGAATCTAAAACAAAAATCCAGAAAATCACATTGTATAATTTTTAAGTAATTAATTTGCATTTTATTGCATGACATAAGTATTTGATACATCAGAAAAGCAGAACTTAATATTTGGTACAGAAAGCTTTGTTTGCTATTACAGAGATCATATGTTTCCTGTAGTTCTTGACCAGGTTTGCACACACTGCAGCAGGGATTTTGGCCCACTCCTCCATACAGACCTTCTCCAGATCCTTCAGGTTTTGGGGCTGTCGCCGGGCAATACAGACTTTCAGCTCCTTCCAAAGATTTTCTATTGGGTTTAGGTCTGGAGACTGACTAGGCCACTCCAGGACCTTGAGATGCTTCTTACGGAGCCACTCCTTAGTTGCCCTGGCTGTGTGTTTCGGGTCGTTGTCATACTGGAAGACCCAGCCACGACCATCTTCAATGCTCTTACTGAGGGAAGGAGGTTGTTGGCCAAGATCTCGCGATACATGGCCCCATCCATCCTCCCCTCAATAAGGTGCAGTCGTCCTGTCCCCTTTGCAGAAAAGCATCCCCAAAGAATGATGTTTCCACCTCCATGCTTCACGGTTGGGGTGGTGTTCTTGGGGTTGTACTCATCCTACTTCTTCCTCCAGTTTAGACCAAAAAGCTATATTTTTGTCTCATCAGACCACATGACCTTCTCCCATTCCTCCTCTGGATCACCCAGATGGTCATTGACAAACTTCAGACGGGCCTGGACATGCGCTGGCTTGAGCAGGGGGACCTTGCGTGCGCTGCAGGATTTTAATCCATGACGGCGTAGTGTGTTACTAATGGTTTTCTTTGAGACTGTGGTCCCAGCTCTCTTCAGGTCATTGACCAGGTCCTGCCGTATAGTTCTGGGCTGATCCCTCACCTTCCTCATGATCATTGACGCCCCATGAGGTGAGATCTTACATGGAGCCCCAGACCGAGGGTGATTGACCGTCATCTTGAACTTCTTCCATTTTCTAATAATTGTGCCAACAGTTGTTGCCTTCTCACCAAGTTGCTTGCCTATTGTCCTGTAGCCCATCCCAGCCTTGTGCAGGTCTACAATTTTATCCCTGATGTCCTTACACAGCTCTCTGGTCTTGACCATTGTGGAGAGGTTGGAGTCTGTTTGATTGAGTGTGTGGACAGGTGTCTTTTATACAGGTAACGAGTTCAAACAGGTGCAGTTAATACAGGTAATGAGTGGAGAACAGGAGGGCTTCTTAAAGAAAAACTAACAGGTCTGTGAGAGCCGGAATTCTTACTGGTTGGTAGGTGATCAAATACTTATGTCATGCAATAAAATGCAAATTAATTATTTAAAAATCATACAATGTGATTTTCGGGATTTTTGTTTTAGATTCCGTCTCTCACATTTGAATTGTACATATGATAAAAATTACAGACCTCTACATGCTTTGTAAGTAGGAAAACCTGCAAAATCGGCAGTGTATCAAATACTTGTTCTCCCCACTGTATGTATGTATGTGTGTGTGTGTGTGTGTGTGTGTGTATATATATATATATATATATATATATATACACACACACACACACAAAACAACAATAATATGGGTGGCAGCTTGTTGTTGAAGGCATTTCTAACGTAAGCAACTCTTGACTTTAACCGTCACGAGTTTGACTAATTTCAGCTTTTGACTGACAAAAATGGCCAATGCATATGGCCTAGAGCGCCTATTTGTGATTAATGTCATACCATGTGGTTAATCCCTGTTCTTCCTTATATTTTCCCAGGAGCTCACACAACCCTGACTACGGAATATGGGATGCCCTCCAGTCATTCCCAGTTCATCTGGTTTTTTGTTGTTTACTTCTTTCTTTTCCTTTATTTAAGGTGAGTGACTGTTCTCTCCCAGACAACATTTATTTTCAAATAAAAAAAAAGTAATGAAAATGATTTTTATAAATTCATAGTCTGTATGCATTGTAACCATACATGGCATTTGATGTCGGCTGACGCACTTTGCCTCCTGTGTCTAGAATGCATCAAACGAACAACGCTCGGTGTGTGGAGCTGCTGTGGAGACACATACTGTCCATCACCTTGTTGGGCGTGGCCTTATCAGTGTCATACAGCAGGTGAGGGAGTGGAGGGGGAGACCCAGTGTAAAAAAAACAACTAATTTATCTAGATTTTAATGTATTTTTAGACAATGACACAGTTGGTCAATTTGGTCCCAACTCTTGAAACTATTTAGCTGTTAATAACTGTATCGTAATTAGCTAAATACAAGAATTGCACAATTGCTATTTTTTAAAAATATATAATGTATGCATCTTTTTCTCAGGGTATACCTGTTGTACCACACTTGGAGTCAGGTCTTCTATGGGGGAGTGGCCGGTAGCACCATAGGAGTAGTCTGGTTCTTCTTCACACAGGAGGTGCTGACACCGCTATTCCCCAAGATGGCAGCATGGTAAAGAACGGGACACCTCTCAGGGGGGCACACAGGCTTGGCTTAGCAAGAAGTGAACCATCAGAGCCTGGCACGGATTTGGCCAGCGTATACTGTAGCTAGTGTTTCTGATGTGTTCATCTTGATTATCTCTTGTGTACTTTTCCCTTTCTCAGTGTTTCTCCATTTTTGACTTTGTCCCACCTCTCTCCCCATCCCTGACTGCTGACAGGCCGATATCAGAGTTCTTTCTGGTGCGGGACACGAGCCTGATCCCCAACATCCTGTGGTTCGAGTACACGGTGACCAGGTCAGAGGCGAGGTGAGGGACATATTTTAATCACCAAATTCAGTGGGAATCTGTGTGACTCCATATAGAGTTTGTTTTTAACCATGTTTACATGTGTAGTAATGGTTTGAATGTCTGCTTATCCTCCAGAAACAGACAACGGAAGCTTGGAACAAAACTTCAGTGATCTCAGCAGTTCCTTGGGGAAACTGAGTGAAGGAACAGACAGACACACACACACACATACAGACATTCAAACCATAAAGAAACACACTGGAGAATCAATCATCTTCTGGACTGACCTGGGTGCAATGGAAAAAGGCCATCCATTTACAGGTGGACCTAAAGAGTGTCTGGACTCTGCCTGGAGTCTACAGCCTGAGCAAGTCCGTCCACATGCCTCCTTGTATAGCTTGCCCAAATGCTCCCCCAATGCATGCAAGACTGTGCAAGAGGCATACTATTTAATGATAAATTAATATATATTTTAACTGTAAACGCACGCGCGCAGATAGTAACCATATACTGTAAGAAAAATATTTTCAGAAAAGCCAAGAAAGAGGGCTCTGTCAAGTAACAAATATTGGCTGGTGTTAAAACAGCATGAAATTAGTGATTTATTTTTATATTGCAGAATTTTAGGGGTAAACAAGTTAACCGCTTTTTTTTTTTGGCTCTTATATTACAAAAAAGAACCATTTTTTAAAAACTTGTGTAAAACGTAATGTAAACAAATTTGCACTCTGAAAATTTAAGAAAAAGGTGGGGAAAAAACGTTTAACACTAGTTACATGTGAAAGACCCCCCTGTTCCCCCCTCTGATACCGCTTTCCTCTCTGTATGACTGCCAACCCTATGTATTTGGTTCCAAAATTGACTTGCAGGCGTTTAAGCGCTCACATAATGTACAAGCCGAGGCTAGTTTACTTTCTGCACAGCACCAAGTTCTGGATTTATGTTTGTTTGAGATGATACATAAGCAGAGAAATGAGCGCCACAACACAAGGGGAAGTGCTGTGTTTCTGCGCCTCTTCCTCACACAGTGAGCAAAGGAGTGTTTTATCAAACCCTTTCTCCCTGCATGTCTGACACCCAAGGAGCAGAAACCTAGGATTTGTAGTTTTTTAAAATTTATTTTCCATTTTTGTTGCGGTTCTAGAGAACATGAAATGGTGGATTACCACTTGTCTGTCTTAACTTTCTTTTCACCTGCCTTTCCAAAACATTCCATATCTTTTGGTGGAAAAACAAACGATATGACTGCTGAGGGAAAAATGTTTGTTTTGTTTTTAAAAGGAAACCTCAGGTCAATCGTAGCATGTGATAATGCTGTGTTCCTCTCGTAAATGCAACAACTGATGTTTGAGGCTGTCTGGTGAGGGTCAAACGCTGGTTTGGAAATGTCATTAACTCCATAAAGGGAAGTAGTTCTCTTAGATTATAATTTTTTCCATCTAGTGTAACCCATATCAGGCTGAATAAAGACATGATGTGTTTATGTATAAATGTATGCTTCTTTTCCATCCAATTCTTCAGTGAATAGTCAACAAAAAGTGGTCCAGAGGTCCAGAAAAGCATAATTATGTATTTTAAGAAATATGTCCCTTAATATGACCTCTATAAAGGTCATGAAGTGTCAAAGTCATGTTTTTCATGATATTTGGATGAAACCAGATCAACTTACTATATGATGACAAGTATGAAAAATTACTGTTGCTTTTTCATTAACAAAGTTTGATAATAAAATGTCTGGTTCCCCCCCCCCCCCCCATGTCCCAACACTTAGATTCAGGAGGCAGGATTATTAAGGGGACAGGGTGACATCACCCTAACTCTCAGTTCCATACACCAATGGTAACATGATATTCTTACCTAATTTTAAAAAGTACCACCTTGAAACCAACGTCAGAGAAGGCGTGTTTGCAGAGGGCTGTGGTTCATATAGACTGCTTGGTTGTTTAGCAACAAAACCAATGTATGCACAACTATGGGTCAAAACAGACAGGGTTGGCTTACATTGTTGACAACGTAAGCTATATTTCATCTCATGTTTATTGAAAACACACTACCGGTCAAAAGTTTTAGAACACCTACTCATTCAAGGGTTTTTCTATATTTGTACAATTAACTACATTGTAGAATAATAGTGAAGACTTCAAAACTATCAAATAACACATATGGACTCGTAGTAACCAGAAAAGTGTTAAACAAATCAAAATATATTTAAAGATTCTTCAAATAGCCACCCTTTGCTTTGATGACAGTTTTGCAAACTCTTGGCATTCTCTCAACCAGCTTCATGAGGTATTCACCTGGAATGCATATCAATTAACAGGTGTGCCTTCTTAAAAGTTAATTTGTGGAATTTCTTTCCTTCTTAATGTGTTTGAGCCAATCAGTTCTGTTGTGACAAGGTAGGGGTATACAGAAGATAGCCCTATTTGGTAAAGACCAAGTCCATATTATGGCAAGAAGCTCAATTAAGCAAAGAGAAACGACCGTCCATCATTACTTTAAGACATGAAGGTCAGTCAAAACGGAACATTTCAAGAACTTTGAAAGTTTCTTCAAGTGCAGTCGCAAAAACCATAAGTGCTATGATGAAACTGGCTCTCATGAGGACCTCCACAGGAATGGAAGACCCAGAGTTACCTCTGCTGCAGAGAATAAGTTCATTAGAGTTACCAGCCTCGGAAATTGCAGCCCAAATAAATACTTCACAGAGTTCAAGTAACAGACACATCTCAACATCAACTGTTCAGAGGAGACTGTCTTTGTGAGACGCGGTGTGGGTGAACGGATTATCTCCGCATGTGTATTTCACACCGTAAAGCTTGTAGGAGGAGGTGTTATGGTGTGTGGGTGCTTTCCTGGTGACACTGCCTGTGATTTATTTAGAATTCAAGGCACACTTAACCAGCATGGCTACCACAACATTCTGCAGCGATACGCCATCCCAGTTGGTTTGGGCTTAGTGGGACTATCATTTGTTTTTCAACATGACAATGACCCAACACACCGCCAGGCTGTGTAAGGGCTATTTTACCAAGAAGGAGAGTGATGGAGTGCTGCATCAGATGACCTGGCCTCCACAAGCCCCCGACCTCAACCAAATTGAGATGGTTTGGGATGAGTCAGACCGTAGATTGAAGGAAAAGCAGCCAACAAGTGCTCAGCATATGTGGGACTCCTTCAAGACTGTTGGAAAAGCATTTCAGGTGAAGCTGGTTGAGAGAATGCCATGAGTGTGCAAAGCTGTCATCAAGGCAATGGGTGGCTATTTGAAGAATCTCAAATATAAAATATATTTTGATTTGTTTTGACACTTTTTTGGTTACTACATGATTCCATATGTGTTATTTCATAGTTTTGGTGTCTTCACTATTATTCTACAATGCAGAAAATAGTAAAAAATAAAGAAAAACCCTTGAATGAGTAGGTGTTCTAAAACGTTTGACCGGTAGTGTACATTTGCACCATGGCCACTTGTGTCCAATACATCATTACAGTTGTTGGTTAGCTTTTATTTTTCTTAAAATATATATTTCACTGTGACCTGCTGCTGCTGACTATCAGGCAGTGAACAGGCTGTTAATGAGTGAGGGAGTGAGAGATCATGGGCTCCTTAGTTTTTTTTGCAAAAAATAGAATTATAGTTGGATAAATGTAGATAAACGTGGATTTTTTTCTCAAGGACCTATACAGGATACTACCCTCTACATCAAAACCTTCAAACCAAATCAAAATTCCATACCTAAAACCTTGACTTTGGACAAAATTACCTTGAATGCATTCTTACTACCAAGAACTATTACATTTACATTTTAGTCATTTAGCAGACGCTCTTATCCAGAGCAACTTACAGTTAGTGAATGAATACATGTTTTAATTTTTTTACTGGCCCCCCGAGGGAAACGAACCCACATCCCTGCCGGCCAAACCCTCCCCTACCTTGGACCACTGCGCCACTCGGGAGTTATCAAGAAAAAACTACTAGCAAACCAAAACCTGCAGAAGAAACACAGTGGAAACCTGGAAATAACATCCAACACAAAACTGAGTGAGTAATGTTCAATCTGAACCTACTTCTGAAGCCAAAAAGTAAAAGACAATCTCTAGGTAATTTTGTTATATAAATCTTTGTAAATAATAATAAGCTACCAAGCTGCTAGGACAGAACAGACCTGGCTGCAACTTGAATTAGCACTGAAGTGTGAAGTGAGATGTGTGAAAACTCTTGAGCCTAACAATGGCAGCAGAGTTTCACAGCCTCCCCCACCCAAATTCAGAGGCCTTTGAAGCCCCCTGCGCCATGGTGTACCCCTGGGCAGATGTCATCACAGTACATTACCCCTTGGAAATAAAAAATAACACTGCACAGAATAAGTACAAAAAGAAGCTCCTTAAGGACAATCCAGAGATACTATTTTCTGACTGCTAAAAAGAGGGGAATGTAAGCAACTTAATTTTTCACACAGACCATCCCCTGGCATGGCACGGTGCTATAAGAGCACACTACCCCTTTGTCAAGAGAGAGGGTATTGGCCCAGGGTGGAAACTCAGAATACTAGACATTGAGGAAATTGAAACAACCTCTGTCAACGTGTACAAGTCTGGGGCAGTAATGGTGCAGGGCATCCTCATGCAGTTCCAGCAGGACTTTTACGGGATCAAAGAGAGAGCACAGCAGGAAAAGCTCTCTCTCGGTGACGACTCCCCCATCCTGAGTGAGTCTGATCACACCTCTTCAAACTGTCCTGCAGACGAGGATAGTCACCTCCCAAGCACTGAACACACCCAGGTCCCACAGCTGCACTGCTCCTCCATCATTGAGAGGGATAAATTCACAGAGCTGGAGAGAGAAATGGTGGAGCTCAGAGAGCTAGTCCACACAATCCAGAAAGAACAGACCCACAAAACAGACCAGCACAACAACACCCCCTCAACAAGACCCGGAGGGCAGAAGGTGGAGATGGACTGCTGTCTGAGAGAGCTGGCTGCTCTACGGACTGAGGTGAGAGAACTTAAGGAGGAGAGAGAGGAACACATGGCACAGCTAAATGCAGTGAAGGAGGAGGGAGAGAAACACATGGCACAGATAACAGCACTGAAGGAGGAGGAAGAGGAACACAAGGCACAGATAACAGCACTGAAGGAGGAGGAAGAGGAACACAAGGCACAGATAAC